AATTTGCTCAACTACTTATTTATTTTACTTTATTTACTCAGCTAACTTCTACCCTACCACAGTCAAACAGCTCTTGGTGACTTACATAAGGTATATAAAACAAGAATTAAAACATCCATAGTCTGATTAAAATCCATCACAACTGCATAACAGCATAAAAAGACAGGATAAAAGCTGTAAAAAAATGAACTATAAAAGTAAGAGAGAAAACATGAAAACAAGATGGTGTCAACTATAAACTTAAGAAAAAGCCCTCCAAATAATCCAGTTTTTAACATTTTCCAAAAAGCCAGCAAGAAGGGAGCCAGCTTGATCTCCACAGAGCAGTGTTGCCTGGCTTCAGTCCCCGCAAACCTCTTGAAAATGTGGGATTATAAGTAATTTCTCCTTGGATGTTCTAATAGATCAGGCCAATGCTGACTGAGGTTGGCAGTTCTATAGGTACCCAGTGCTGAGCCATAAAAGCTTTATAGGTCAAAAGCAACTGTACCAAAAACCAATCAGGAGTCAGTGCAGAATCGGTATTATACTGTATGCTCCCAGTGGCAACAGCAGGTAAGCAGATGGATTGCTGCTTTCTGGATCAGTTTCTGAGTAGAGGCACTTCTATGTAAAGCACAGCTCTGGTATCGATGGAAAACCCCAATGTACAAACATAGACTCCATCTCTGGAGGGATGCATTCCCCCCATCGAGGTCCTGACAAGGCAAAGATCATGAAGAAAATTGCCAGTGTTGTCTCTGTCCAGTAGCTGAGCCTGAACCCTGACTGAAAAGAATCCACATAATGTGGTTCTTCTAGGGTCCTGTGAAGTTGGTTGACTACTACCGTGTCAACAACCTTATCCCAAAAGGGCAGGTTGAAGATAGGGCAATAGTTGTCCACGACCACCAATCTAGGGAAGGCCTCTTCAGAAGCAGGTGCATCACAGTCTCCTTCAAGGTGCTGGCAGCTGACTCTCCTGTAAGGATCCAGATGGTCATCACTCTGTCCACTCCCCACAACAGCAGGGTGTAAGGAACAATTAGATGAGGACAATCTAGAAAGCACCCTATCTGCTTCCTCAGAGATCACAGGCCAAAAGGAGTTCCAGGTAACATGATAAAATGGTGCCCCAGTCACCACAAAAGACCTTGTCTGTGCAGAGTTGATGCTATAGCGAATCTGAGTAATTTTGTCAACAAAATGCTGTGCAAATTGGTCACAGAGATCAGGTGAGAGATCTCAAATCTGTCTCCTCCCTAATAGAAGGGTTGCTAGCCCTAAACAATGCCATTGAAAGACAGGCCCCCAACACAATATGGGAGGAGAATATGGCACCCTTTGCCTCCCTTATTGCCACAGCATAGTTCCAAACAGGGATGCCTACCCATGCTTGATCAGATTTGTTTCTTGACCAGTGTTCCAGGCATCATTTCTGGTGTTTCATTTCCTGGAAGGCTTCAGTTAACTGAGGCAAAACCTGGGATCATCCCCTAGAAAGAGGCCCCTTGGGGGCAGTAATGTTCAGGGCCTGGTTCACCTCCTCTTGACAGTTCATCAGGCACTGAACAGAACTTTCTGCCAAAGAGTTGGTGATCTCTCTAAGCACCCTCTGAAAAACAATGGGATCCATTAGGCACCTGGGGTGGACCATCCAAATAGGCTGCTGGTGGCTAACAATAGGACCATCTGAATAGGGCATGGATGGCTAGCAATCACAGCTGGATCAAAACATGATCTGACCAAGGCAGCTTAATAAAATAGTTCTTCCAATAATCAAATAAAGCTTTTACTTTATGGGCATTTTGTTGCATGGTGATCAGTAAGGGTTTAGAGTAGGTACCAACAATCAGCACCTTAAGTAAGCCATGTAATTAGTGCTCCTGGGTCTATAAAAGATACGTATAATTTTTAAATTTAAATTTTATTTTATTTTCTTGAAATGTGGTGCCCTACATAATGCGGCAGCTGCTTAGTTTACTTATACAGATGGGTCACCCCCGCTAGTGATAATTGGTTCTGAAGTCTGTCTATATTCAGGCCTTCGTATCTTGTCTGTTCCTTAGCTGTGCCACACATAATATGTCTGGGCCTTTGGGCCCTTTTTAAAAACAAATCCTTCTAGGGCTTTGATCTTTTCAGTAAAGGCTAAATCCCTCAGACACATGTCCACTTTTGGTTTCTGACAAACTCAAATTGTCAGTTTATCTAAAAGTGCTTTCAAAGTGACTGCCACCTTGCATTTCTGGTGTTAGACCTCTAGAGAAACTGTCACTTGAGCTTAATATAACAAGTTAGGGTTGGAAGCTATCACTGGGCCTGTTCTGCCTCTTTGCATTTCTTGGACAGACACTTAAAATGAATTTCATCTGCATGTAAAACTATTATACCATCGACCTTGCCTTGTCCACTGTGGCCAACTTCTGTCCATGGACTTTTAAAAGTAATGCATGAATAAGGAACAATAGGATGTGGTTGTTTACAACTACTTTTCTACTTTCTGTCTACCTTCTGTACTAATAATCCCTAGAAATCTATAACTTCCCAAAAATTCAGGATATACTTAAACATGCTAAAATGAGATTGCTGAAGGGCACAGAAGCACAGTTACACTGCTCCTTTGCTGTCTGATCAGCTGTCTGATCTGACCATGATTACAGTCAGAGAACCTTTTGTATATACAATTCTATTTATTGTGAAACTACTCTTTGATGGAGTTCAAATATAACAATCCAGTGCAACAGAAATAGGTTGGGAGGGAATGTAACACTTTTCCCAAGTGGATATGCATACCCTCCTTCCACTTAGATGACCACAAGGAAACTTTTATTTGTATCAAGTTTATATCCTAAAGTCTTATCAGTAGTAGGTTAGTAATACTAATGCTAGAAACAAGTATAACTGAACATTAACAAGCCAAGTGCAGTTCAGTATAATTTAGAACAATTAAAACACTGATAAAAAAACACAAACACCAACTAAGTTAAAACCAACCTCAGCAGACTCATTAATTTAATGACCAAATGACCAATTGCCTAATTGGAAATGGCTTTGCTGGCTATTAGTAAAGTAACTGTACTTTGCTGTAGTTTGTAACTACCAAACTGCTTCTAGCTACCAAAGCCAAAAAATTGTGCCCAAGTATGATTTGCTTTGAAAACAATCCGACTCCAACATGGATGTATGAAGTTTGGCTGTTTTGGTGTAATGCTAACCTATCCGAAATCAGAAGAAAAATGTTTCTGAATCCCCCTCATGGCTGTGCCGGATGAGAAGGAAGAGCAGTACAAAAAAAAAAAAAACCTTACCATTGCCACGAATCATAGTTCATTATTGTACCATCAAGATGCAGCTTTGCTTTAGAAACTTCAAATTTTAGAAAAAGAGGCAAGTGGAATTCTCTTGATTTCCTTTCCCTTGACAGCTGGTTAGCATAGCGGCCAAAACTGTGTATTACAAGATTCCCCAGTTCAAACATCACTTTTATCTTACCAGATGTTGGTGAGTTGCTGTTCTCTTAGCCATGATATGACTGTTCTCATTAGCTTGTTTTGAAGGCTGTTACTTGAATTTTGCTTTTATAAATGCAATGTTTCTTACTCCATGCATTTACTAATAAATAATTTAGGCTTCAGTAAGACTTTGGATGATTTATTGTTTTATGTTAAATATATTATTGCAGGCAATGGTATTGTTCACATGAGAAACCCTTCTTTGTCTCCCCATATGCCATGTAACTTATGTATGTGTTAGGCTAACAAACTATGCTCCTTAAATCTACAGTATTCCTATGGTTGGCATTTTTCCCCTCTGCTTCTTTTTTTTTAAACATACAGGATTATTATAATATTGTTAAAAAACCCATGGACTTGACCACAATTCAGAAACGTCTGGAACACAAATATTATACGTGTGCTGCAGAATGTATTGAAAACTTCAAAACAATGTTTGCAAACTGCTATTTATATAACAAGGTATCTACAATGGACAACCATATTTATAATTACTAAATATTTTTGGACAAACCTTTGATTGGGCTACAGGTAGTCCTTGTTTAGTGACTGCCTCGTTTAGCAACCATTCTCTGTTACAACGGTGATGAAAAAGTAACTTTGTGACCAATCCTCACATTTATTACCTTTGCAGGTCTGTAAAGCAAAGGAAAGCTGAAGTAAAATCATAAGCACAGTCCCAGTTTCACTTAGCAACTGCTTCGCTTAATGGCCAAATTGCTAGTCCCAGTTGCGGTTGCTTAACAAGGATTACCTGTATTTGGGATTCTTTAATACCAACTGTTACCATAATGGATTGGTGAAAATGGAAGCTATAAAAGGGCCTGTTCTTTCTTCCTAGTTAGTTTTCCACTTCAATATTAACTATTTTATTTCTTTTATTTCTTATTTATTTCTTGTTTTATTTTTCAAGCAGTGAGTTTGTATAATCACACCCATTCGCAAAGAAAACATGTTCATTTTCCCTGAAGGGTGGTTCTGCAGAAGCTACATTAGACTGACTAGTGATTTGTCTCAAGCTGTCTCTTCTACACTTTTCCATCAATTTCTATCAATTGTATCAGCATATGGATGGGTATGATTTTACTGTTCAGATGTGAGGCTGGTCTGAATACCCCTATTGAG